AGTCAGAACTTTTAAAATTGTATTGAAGAACAATGGATGAATATAGTTTGGTCAGAACTTTTAAAATTGTACTGAGGATTAATGGATGAATATAGTTTAGTCAGAACTTTTAAAATTGTATTGAAGAACAATGGATGAATATAGTTTAGTCAGAACTTTTAAAAAAACTATATTCATCCATTGATCTTCAGTACAACAGTACAATTTTAAAAGTTCTGACGATCTTAATGGATGAATATAGTTTAGTCAGAACTTTTAAAACACTTTTCCTATCCAATGGACGTCTTTGTGTGTGATGAAAATCAAACAACTTTGAAGGTCTCATGTCATCAGTTAAACACAGTAGAAGTTCTATAATGTCATTGGCAATTTTTTTGTTGGAATAGTTTAGGACCTGTGATCTCACTGAAAGGGGGAGTGACAGCAAATCTCATTGCAGACCATGTTCTCACCCTATGATGAACACTTTATTTCCAAATGGAGTTGGTCTGTTTGAAGAATATAATGCACCAATTCATACTCCTGGAATTGTTAAAGATTGGATCAAAGAACATGAAGAAGAGTTTGGGCACTTAACTTGGACACTACAGTCACTAGATTTAATGTTATAGAATCTGTATTGTAAGTTCTTGGAACCAACCGTCAAAGCACATTTCGGTTTCCAACATCACTTCAACAATTACATGTAGCTTTGGTCGACGAGTGATCAAAATATCATCGTTTGACGCTCAACACCTTGTTTAAGTAATTCCACACAATATTAATGCTATATTGTCTGTTCGTGGTGGACAAGTTTCATATTAATAAATAAAGCGTCGAAATTAATAAATATTTCCATTATTTTATCGGACCCTTGTATTAGATCACGAATAACAAATCCAAATAGGTAACTGTAAACCATCGACACGTAGTTTAATATTTTTAATACGGAAACTTTTATACTTAATGATAGATAGGATGCTTGAAATACAGAACTCAAATAATAATTTATAGACTCTATACATATAATGATACATCTTAGGTTTTCTATGGTGCAGAACGAGAGAAATGGTCTCCCCCTGATATTATTCAAATGTTTTTAAAAAAGGAAAAGGAATGAGACAACGCATGATCGTTAAACCTACTCAAACACAAGTTGATTCCTAAACATAGCGCAAATCTTTATCGCTACTCTCTTAGTAAAATAACGTCTTTAAACGGAGTTTCGTGAGATGTACATTAACGGTATTGAAGATAGAAAGAGTCAGATTACCATTTAAAAGGAACTCTGCTTTTCCGATGGTGTTCCTTTTGTATACGACCATTACAAAGAAGCCATTACACGCTTCGCCGCAGTCCATCATACATACGTAGCTAGGCCCAAATGACTTCAGCTTGTATCACTTGAGAGTTAAAACGTTTTCTAATATTATCATTTAGAGTTATAAACCATCTCATGATGTAGACTTGCTTGATCGATTACTTTAGTATTAACCAAAGTTTCTTGTGCAAGAGTGACTTCCAGTGACGTAATTGAGATAAACTTTCGTCAGGTTTATTTCCATGTGATTCTGTATTTGTAGAGCCTAAACACTCAAATAATTTCGGCGAAAATTAATACAGTGACTTTTCATAGAAACTGTGGATCATCTGTACTTTTCACAAATGTTTGTTTG